CATGTGGGAGCCTCCAGCACTGGGTTTGCCCTTTTTTATCAATGCATATATTTCAAACTATTTCAAATGATGCAAGAGGAATCTGCACAAATGAACATAACCTTTGTGTTGATTTTTTTTTGGAGTAGTTTCTTTTTCACTCTTAATTCATGCACTAAAAGCTCACCTTTTGCTGATTTTGTTTTCTGCTTGATGCCCTTACATAGATTCACATATTTTTCCCCAGGGAGGGTGCAAGAGTAGTCTGGGGCTATGTTGATCGTATTCTAGGTCAGCCTTCACTGATAAGGGAGTCATCACGAGGGAAATATCCCTGGTCTGGTTCCCTCTCACGTGCTACAGGTACCCTGACTAGCAAGCTGAAGAATGGAAGCAACCTAGGGAAGGACGGAAATGGGTTTGGTGATGTTATTCTAAATCCTTCTCTCCAGAAGAGAGTGAAGCAGCTTGCTAATGCCACGGCAAATACGAAACTTCATCAAGCTCCTTTCAGGAACATGCTTTTCTATGGGCCTCCTGGCACAGGGAAAACCATGGCAGCACGAGAACTAGCTCGCAATTCTGTAAGTTTCATAGACCATACCTATGTCAGCATTAATAAAAACGTTTGAAATGCTACTGCCCCATTAATGTTGTCGCCACTTACAGGGATTAGATTATGCACTAATGACTGGTGGAGATGTTGCACCATTGGGATCACAAGCAGTCACCAAGATTCATCAGCTGTTTGACTGGGCGAAGAAATCTAATAGGGGTTTGCTCCTCTTCATAGATGAAGCAGATGCTTTCTTGTGCGAGTAAGTGAAAACAAAATCTTCAGATACTTTTCTTGTTTGAACCTCCATGGCACCATTTGAATTTTCAGCATCATAACATGGAGTCCAGAAATTCTCTTCTGTTGCTAGCTTTAGCGATATTTTCGTGATTATCAAGAGAGTTCAAATCTATATTGTTGACTGTTATTAGTCATTCATCTATCACAAATGATTTTGCAAAAGAAATGCATGGCTCTATAACTAATCATCTAATCGCCAACTGTTCAGTGACTTGAAATGTGTTGAGACTTGATTGCACCAATGATTTTCTGTCATTGTTCTATTTGAGTGTGCTAAGATCCAATTATATTTCAGGCGTGTTTTCTCGCCCTTAACTTGCAAATTGTAGCGTTCTTACCCTTAACTTGCAACAGTGTTGACATCTCAGACTGATTTTTTGTACCCTGCAGACGGAACAAAACTTACATGAGTGAAGCTCAAAGGAGTGCCCTGAATGCTCTCCTCTTCCGCTGGGTGATCAATCCAAGGACATTGTCCTTGCACTTGCCACCAACAGGCCTGGTGATCTTGACTCTGCTGTCGCTGACCGTATTGATGAGGTCCTGGAATTTCCCCTGCCTGGGGAAGATGAGCGATTCAAGCTCCTGAAGCTATACCTGGACAAGTACATCATCAAAGCCGGTGACAAACATGAGAAGAGCTGGCTCCGTTTCTTCCGCCGCCAGCCCCAGAAGATTGAGGTGAAAGGCATCACTGATGACCTGATCCGGGAGGCGGCGGCTAAGACCCAGGGCTTCTCTGGAAGAGAGATAGCGAAGATGATGGCAAGCGTCCAGGCCGCTGTCTACGGGAGCAAGGACTGTGAGCTCACCCCAGGCCTGTTCCGCGAGGTTGTGGACTACAAGTTCGCTGAGCACCAGCAGCGGAGAAGATTAGCCGGTGAGGAGCCAAAGCAGAATGCCTAGGTTGACCTTTTTTTTCATTCACCCCCGTTTTGCCGTGGCATGTACTGTGTTTTTTCCGGGATAGATTGCTTCATCGGGCATGCGTTTTGCATGCCCTGTGTTATTCTTTTGCTCCATTCACCCTACTAGAGGGTCTTCTTTTGCTCCATTCACCCTACTAGAGGGTCTTCGGTGGTAGGCGATGATAACTTGATAAGAGATGAGGATTACATGTGGCTTGTGATGGAAACTTTGGCGATAGGCCACACCCAAAAAGCTGGCCGTTTTGATGCATGATACTTTTTGGTCAGTCTTGTATCTTCTTACTAATGCTTGTAATAAAATGGTCTGATTTACTGAGAAATAATCGGCAGTAGCTGTAATGGTTTTGGCATTGTTTTGCACTTTTATCTGTAATCGTACGGTTCTGGTTGTGAATGAATTGAGCAGTTTCGTCCACCCATGTTCGGCGGCGGTGCGCGACAGTGTCTTGCGCCGTCGATAGGTATACCGTATACCTGACATTCTCTCACCGTCGATGCAGCATTGTCATCTGTCACAACCAAACGGCTAAACATGGCTAGCCCCCTTGTTCTCCAACCGGCTCCCAGGTGGCCAGGTCGAGGTCATCGAACCGACTTACTGACCCTACCCTATCGCCACCGTCTCCTCCAGACGCCAGGGCGCCAGGCATGTCATGGCCACGAGCCCAGTGAGGCCTGGCGGATTTTTGTGCCGAAGCAGTCAAGAAGATACCAGCTGCCATCCTGCTGGACGGCGCCGCGACTGCGGCGGCAGAGGCAAATCCACGGGCAAGCGAATTGAGATTGATAAATACTACTCCATAGCAAACACTGCCCACCCGTAACAAATTTTCCAGTACAATCTGCACTTGACAACTGGGCGTCACATTGAGCTGCATGCTGGCACTCAACAGTGCAAAGTTACAACACAAAACCAAGCATTTCAGTAACCATTACTGCCTTCGACAAGTGCGAGACATCTTCCCCAAAATGCTTTCACTCGTATTTATAGATATATACAATCCAGACAAAAGATCTGTTGTGTAGTTCTAAACTTTTTCAGACATAAGGTTGCTGTATTCAGATCAGCTCGTGGCGCTTGTACAAGTGGAAGAGATACAGGCAGAGGCAGATGCAAAACACGGTTTAGCTACAATTGGCCCGAAATTTTTTATTTTTTTCCCCTTTTTTAAAAGTTTTTTTTACAAATATGTCCCTAAAGGTATGCTTTTAAAATCTGGACCCTTAGCTCGGCGCCATCGTTGGTGGCGCCGAGCTTACAAGTTTTGGCGCCAAAGAGTTTGGTGCCTAGGTTGGGGCCACGTTGGCGACATGGACGCTGACCTGGCAGGTATCACGGCGTCGAGGTTATTGGCGCCGAGCTTGGCGCCGTGGTTATTGGCGCCGTTCTCGGCGCCAAGATCTATGGCGCCGATGTGGTGTTTTAACCCGGTGTCCAACCTTCCTGTCTGAGTCTTCTTCCTCTTCTTTCTCCTCTTGGTTTTTTTCTCTTCCCACTTTGCCCTACCTCACGAATCGGCATATTGGACCATAGAAATTTTGATTTGATCCGTAGATTTTCGAGAGCAAGGTATCATCGCTCCCTCCTAGTTTTTTTTCACATCGATTCGGTATATATTAGTCGGATTTTTTAACTTAAGAACTATCATTACTTAGGGTTTCATTCAATTTTAATATTTATATTATACAACCGTAGGATGCCAAGGCGTGAAAAAGCTAGCAAACCAAGGTAACCTTAGCGCACGTTGTTATATTATGGGTTCATTATTGTGGATCAAATGGGAAACCCTAGGTGTAGGGTTTAATGTTAATTGCTTTCGGTTTTTAGAACGGAAATGGCTAAATTGTAGTTATGGCCGGATGACCGAAAGTGCCTTCGACCCATTGCCTCTGCCTAGTGGTGTTCCAGTGTCCATGTGCTTTTGCGGCGATCCTTGAAAGGTAGCCAAGTCCGATGAAGAGGACACGTATAGGCAGAGGTATTGGATGTGTTCCAATTTTGCGTTTGAGCCTACACTTCGTCAGCGCCGCATTAACAATATGGTGATGAATTGATGTTGTGTAATAATTATTTTGTGTCATATGACATCTTACATGATTTTTTTGTTTTGTAACAATTGCATTTGTTGCAGACCCCTCCACCGCTCTATGATTTTGAGCAGTGGCTCAACACTGAGATCAAGCTTGAAGACAAGGAATGGATGCATAAACTGTTGCGGTGGGAGGCAGAGGACAAGGAGATGATGGAGAAGAGACGCAGAGATGAGGCTGCAGAAAGGAGAAGGAAGAGAAGGAAAGGAGGCGTGTTGCTGCGTACAGGGAGGAGAGGGAGAAGAAGCTTGAGCGTGCACGCCAAGCGAAAACAGCGATGGAGGAGAATCTCGATGCTCCGAGGAAGGGAAAGTGGTCTCGTTGCACTCAGTAGTCTCCATTACTTGCTAGTTTTATGGTTTATTCATGAAGAATGTTGTCTATTGTTGGACTTTTCATTGTGTTGTCATGTAATGCACTTTAAGTATGGGCATGCTTAGGTCATGTACTGCGTTATTTAGTTTGTCGGCACGCACTTCTACTATTATTGTGTTGTTTAATGTGTCATAGTATTGGACTTTTCATTATATAGTTATTTTCATTATTTGTGGTCATAATATTCAGTTTAATATTGCAGACGTAGTGAAATGTCATCACGTCTTTAAACAAAACCTAACGAAGTAGGACATTATATAATTCAACACAACACATAAAATGGCATGTGAGAACATGTGCGAACTAAGGTACAAAGGTCCTAAACTAAACCTAACATGCCTTAGGTAATTGAAGCGAACATCAAGCACACGAAATAGTATGTGAGAACATGTACCAAACAAGGGTACATAGTTCCTTCGACTAAATCTAACATGCCTTAGGTAATTAAATCAAACAACAAACACATGGATGTGCCATGTGAATAAGATAGGGTCGTCCTAGTAGTGTGGCCACATAGCAAATTGTGTTGCACCTTCTCTCTGTGGCCTCCCATTGTTGATGGTGGTGGCGGGGGTGTGACGGCGAAGGCCCTTGTTCTTGATTAGGGCAGGTGCAATATGGATCATTGCAGAGTGCCTCCCCGTGAACTTGCACCATTGTTGTTGTCATCATCTTCGTCTTTCTTGTACCGCCGCTAACTTCTCTTTTTGTAGGTCGAAGATTTGGTCCGGCAAGTAGTAGATGTCTTGTAGATGTGGATAAATTTGGTCAACCCACCTAGTGAACCCATAGTTTTCTTCTGACTCGGAAGACTACAATAAGTATGTCCTATGAGTTGTAAGTGGATTCGAAAATATATTTAACAAACGAAATATAATAGCAATTACCCATGATCAACCCACCTAGTGAACCCATAGTTTTTTGGCCAATCTTCCTTCGTGGATCCTCTAAGAGGGCACTCTTTAGTGAAATCACTCTTACTCAAAAACGGATACATTGGTTCCTCAAATAAATCGAGTCCTATGAATACAAATGGAAGTTTCCTTCGCCCCCCCCCTTTTCCTCTCCCACCTCCAAAACCCTTTCCTCTAGATGACCCTCCAAACATTCCTACTCCAACAAAACCGAATATTAGTTTGGTTTTCCTTTTGATTAGCAATGCATCCTAGAACGCATATATATAGGCGGAGGCATGTTTGCTAGTCGTTGTATTGTGTTGTAAATGCTTCTGGAAAGTCTACTCAGAATCACTAAAAAGCCTACATCGTAGGACACTAGAGAGCCTAGATTTCATGACTAAAAAGCCTATTCGATTTCAGACTTCAATCACTATTTCGAAGGACACTGAAAATCTATTCGACGGTGACATAAAAAATCACTGTAAATGCTACATTATTTTACTAACTGCAGTTGAAGACGATGACATAAATGTACCTACCCGCTAGTCTACTCCGCTGCTACTCAGCGGCTCAGTGCTCGACCACTCGCATGCAAGATTGGCTCACACGCATGCAATGTACGTAATAAGTTCTTTTGTATAAAATAGAAGGAAAGAAAATCTCAACCA